AATGGTGTTCACTTACTGAGCAACATTTGGGTACTAGACACATGTTAGGGTCTTGGATATGTTATTTCACTTGATTCTTGAAACATCCCTCTAAAGTAGACGTTCAATTTACAAACTAAAAAAAAAACAGTTCAGAAAGTTTAAATAATGTGCCCAAATTTACCCATGGTCAGTGGAACAGTCAAGTTCATGGACTCTCTTTGGTATGCTGAGAGGTCTTGTCTTCCCTGCCTCCTGTCTCTCTTCAGTGTAGCTCTTTCAGCAGGCTGTGCTAGAGATTTCCTTTTAAAATAAAAATCTGCTTAAAGGCCTTTGATGGCTCTTCAATACCCACTCAAGGTAAATAGTTCAATACCCACTCAAGGTAAATAGTCCAAGCTCTTTAGCTTAATAATCAAGGCCCTTGACAATCTGGCTCCAATCAAATATTGCAGGCTCACTTCCGGCTTCTTTTCCGATGCATCCTAGGTTTTCCATGAGGATGCCTTTTTGTCTTTGTTCATGCTGTACTTGCTGCCTATGTGCCCTTCCCCTCCTTCTCTGCCTAAAAAAAAATCCTAGTTTTCCTTTAAGGTCCACCCAAATGTCACCTTCTTGGTGAAGTCTTCCCCAGTGTCTCTGGGTTCAATGAATCCTCCTCTGCCTTCTCCATATTACAGAGGACATTGTAAAGTCCTCTGTAGTAGCCCCTTTTGCATTGTCATCGTCCTTCATAGACTAAGATCCTTAAAGACAAGGATTGTACTTTACATTTATTTGTATTCCCAGTTCCTGGCACATAATAGGAGTTCCATAGATATATGTGGAATAGAATTGAGGCCTAATCCTTTTCCACATGTTAGCCCTTCAATTATTTGAAGACCCTTCTAAGGCCTTGCCCTGCCCCACTCTACTCCTATTAATAGTTATTTCTTCTGCAGGCTAAATGTTCCCAACTCCTTTCAGCTGCTCCTTATAAGGTCTGATTTCCAGATTCCTTATCTGGTCATTTGCTTCTGGGTGATAATTTGTCAACATCATCCCTCTTTTAAAATATAATGCCTAGGATAAACTTAATAGCCCAAAGTCTGGCCATAGCAGAACAAAGTGAGGGGATTCCAATCTGTGATTCCAATCTATGACGTTTTCTTAGCCATTACTGTGTTCCAGGAAGCTCTGCCTACTCTATTTTCTTTCACTCTTCAATAATCTGGTGAGGTGGGTGTCATTTCTCCCATTTTACAGATGAGAACATAAGCCATCTGGTAAGGCACTTTGAGAATAAGTTAAAGTCACAATCCCAGAGCACAAAGGTAACTTGTGGTCAACTGATACCTTCAGATCATTCTTACATCCACTGTTGTAAAGTTATTATTTTTTCCAGTTACCAGCCAGCTAGTGACAGGCTTAAGGGCAACTGAGGACAAAAAGAATCAGTACCTTTAGAAGGGTGTGAAACCAAAGCGCAGAGAAAAGGCAGGTTGGATTAATGACCAACTTCCTAACAATAACAGCCTTTATCTAGGAGCTCAAACAGAGACTGGAATGTCTTAACCACACAGCTTCCTGGAACTATTTTTACTTTGTATTTTACAAGACGAGCAACAGCAGAAGCGTCTTAGATAAACAACAATGTTTGGGCTCAGCACATGTCTGAATCTGAACAGCCAGTGGGGCCCTGTGGTCACAAGGCAGATAATAAGGAGACTGCCTCTTTGGTCTGTGGCTTGGGTCTGAAAGGGTCCTACTGTGCACATTCATTCTATAAATATAGACTGATCACCAACTGTGGTCCAGGCATGGTGCGAGGTGCTGTGGATGTAATGAAGAAGAAAGACAGAGTTTCAATCTGTGGAGCTTACAGTCAGGTGAAAGAAAAGCATAAATGAAAATGATATGCACAGATCCTAGTAAATGCAATGATGAATGAAGGTGCCAGGCTACAAGGGCAGCAAAAAGAGGGGCATTTAATTTATCCTGGGGTGAGGATGGAAGAGAAGGTATCAGAGGAAGTTCCTGGGGAAGGTAGTCTTAATTGATGTGTAGGACTTAACATGCTGAAGGCTCTTATGTATTTCAATGCATCCCCCCCACACCCCACAACACACATACTTTATTTAAGCATCAGAAACCATCTTTCCCATTTCCTTCACTATCTCTTCCACTGGGTCATCGACAACATGGTAACAAAAAACAAAACAAAAACTACTGTTTCCTCAACCGTCAGTGCCAGAATAATCACTCCTTTTTGCTGTACTGTAATGTAGAAAAGAGCAGACCTGGAGTTTCCTAGCATACCTCCTTTAAAAAAAAATACATCCTGATTAACTTGCCTATTTCTTCCCTCTCCATTGCCTCTGTATTTCTTGGCTTCCCCACACCTGTGACCCAAAGGTCACAGGGTCTGTCACAGCCCAATTCCATTCTCCAGTTGCCTCTTGGTTTTTAACCCCCCTTTTTAAAATCCAAACATTAAACAACTAATAACACCCATGTGTAATTAGCTGTTTAATTGAACAGCACAGAACTGTAAATACGTTGTGCTGTGCCCTGGGATATTAAATGGAATAAAAGCAAAGTACTATATTCGAGGAAACTACAGTCTAACTTGAAATACTACAATGGGATACATTTCACACAGAGATTTTTACTAAGTGACAGTGGAGAGGAGGGAGAAATGAGTTCTTCCTGAGAAGTGTCAGAGAAGTTCTGAGCTGGATCTAAAAAAGAAGCAGGAGGCCAGGTGTGGTGGCTCATGCCTGTAATCCCAGCACTTTGGGAGGCCAAGGAGGGTGGATCACGAGGTCAGCAGATTGAGACCATCCTGGCTAACATGGTGAAACCCCGTCTCTACTAAAAATACAAAAAATTAGCCGGGCATGGTGGCAGGCACCTGCAGTCCCAGCTACTCGGGAGGCTGAGGCAGGAGAATGGCGTGAACCCAGGAGGCGGAGCTTGCAGTGAGCCGAGATCGCGCCACTGCACTCCAGCCTGGAAGACCGAGCGAGACTCCATCTCAAGAAAAAAAAAAAAAAAAAAGCAGCAGGAATCCAAAGGACAATACGCATACTATTTATTTATTTATTTTTAGCAGATGTGGGAATATCACCCTCATGCCAAGACTTATCTAAGGCTACAGGTGTGAATAAGGTTCCTGATCTCAAGAAGCTTTCAGCCTAGAAAAGAGGTTTAGAAATATACCCCAATAATGGCAACATATATTGTGCCATGGACAGAGTTACAGAACAAACTGCTAGGGGAGTTCATAGAGAAAATGTTTAAGAGAACATTTCTCACTGGATGTAGTAGGCAGAATTCTAAGGTAGCCTCCTAGATTAACCTTCATGTACACCTTCTGCATAGTCCCTGGGACAGTGGCTATGATGAATTTTACTCCTGTGATTAGGGTATGTGGTGTGGCACAGGTGACCTTAAAGTAGGAAGATTAGCTAGGTGGGTCTGACCTAATTACAAGTCTTTTAAAAGCTCACCGTGTTCTCTGACTGGTTGAAGAAGGGAAATCAGAGATATTTAATGAATGAGAGGATTGACATGAGGTTCTCTGTTGATGAGATAAAAGGGACCATGTGGCAAGGCCCTGAGAGTGGTCTCCAACAGAGATCTGGCAAAACAATGTAGCTGTGGGATCCTAGTCCTACAGGGACATGAATTCTGCCAACAGCCTGAAGGAGCCTGGGGCAGACCTTTCCCTCGCAGAGCCTCTAGACATCTTGATTTCAGCCTATGACACCACGAGCAGAAAACCCAGCCACACCATGCCAGTTTTCTGACCTACACAACTGTGAGTAAATCAATGGGTGTTGCTTTAAGCTGCAAATTTTGGGCTAATTTGTTACGCAGGAATAGAAAACTGGTATGAGCACTTACAACACTGTGCTCTCATTAGCTATTGACATACTAGTTTCCCCAACTATGGGCTCCTTAGATTTAGGCTCTAATTATCCTTGTAACCTCAGGGCTCTTCATGAGACAGGTACTCCCCAAAACGCCATGGAATAAAAGTTTAAATTAGACACAGGGATGCAGATCAGAACCTGGATAGATTCTGACCATTTCCATTTCTCAAGAATGGGCAGACGGATACTGAGACCAACACCAGGATAAAAGGAGGCAGCCCCTCTTCAGTCCAATGCTCTAAGACCTATTCCAGAGGCAAGGCAAGTAACCCAGGCTCAGCTGTCCCGTCTGCTGCTCCAGCCTTGCTGAGGTGGACTTCCCTCCAAGGAGCATTGTTCATAGAAGTATCATTAACAAGACATTCCTGTGTGACCTGAAGATTGCCATGTTCTAAGTGATGCCACACCCACTCCACATCCAGCTCAGCAGAGGTTTCGGGATTTATATTGCACTGTATTTTCAATAGCCAAAATAGAAGTCAAGACTTCGGTTTCCTAAGCTGCTAAAATGATGTGGTGGTTAAACTAATTGTGTGCCAGGCGCAGTGGTTCACGCCTGTAGTTCCAGCGCTTTGGGAGGCTGAGGCAGGAGGATCACTTGAGCCCAGTAATTTGAGGTTACAGTGAGCTACGATGGCGCCACTGCACTCCGACCTGGGGGACAAAGCGAGGCTCCACCTCTAATAAAACAAAAATAGAATTGTGTAGCCAACATTTTTGGTGGGCCTGAAAGAATGAGCCTGTGCACTCAGTGCGTACCTGTTGAAGGGATGACCGCAGGGACGACTGAGGACGCTGACACTCACTAGGGCATCCAAGCGCTAACTCGACTCTCACCTACCCTCTCGGTGCAGTGCTATCCTGTTGGAGAAGAGGCCCCTGGGTGGCGGTGCGAAGTAACTCGCCCAAAGTCACCACACGGCCAGCCACTAGCCGGGCGGGGGTCGCCAGAGGTGAGGGCCACGTCAGTCGGTCTTGGGGGCCCGACCGGTGGTTCCTCCACCCAGCCCCACGCGGTCTCGGAGTGGGCTACTGGCAGCCCCGGGATTCGAACCCAAGTCCTCGTCCTCGCCCTCGCGCCCTCTCAGGCCTCAGTTTACCCACCTACAAGACGCGTACCCGACAGCTAGCCCGGGCGCCAGGGGGGCCCCCGGACCGGGGTCTGCAGGCCGGCGGGGTAGGGGCGGGCCAGGTCCCTGCGTGCCCTCCCTCCTCCAGCGCGCCGCCCCGCCCCCCGCGCGAGCCCAACGGCCGAGGCGCGCGCCACCTCGCGGCGGGAGGCGCGGGGGAGGGGCCGGGGAGTCCCCGCCCCGCCCCCCGCCTCAGCAGCCGTCGCCAGCTCGGTGGAGCCCCCCGCCGCCCGCCCGCCGCTCTCCGGAGCCGCCCGCCCGCCGCTCTCCGGAGCCGCCCGCCCGCCCCCTTCCCGCGTCCCCGCTCCCTCCCTGCGTAGCGGAAACATGGCGGCGGGAAGGGAGTGAGCCGCCCCGCGCCCCCGCCGCGCCCGCAGGTAAGCGCCTCGCGGCCGCCTCCGCCCGCCTAAGAGCTTGCGCCCTGAGGGGCCGCCTGGGGCCAGAGGGCGGTGGCGGGACCTGCGCGGCCGCTGCGGCCGCCCCGCCGGGCCGGGTTAGCCTGTCCGTCTGTCTGGCCGGCCTGCCAGTCTGTGGTCCGCGCGGGGCCGGGCCCTCTTTCGGCCGTGTCAGCCGGGTCCCGAGCCCGGAGGCCGTTCTGCATCTGCGGTCGGGCGGGCGGGGCCCACGGTCCGGTCGCGGCCCTGACGCGGCTGGGACGGCCCGGGGGCCCCGGCACGGGAAACCCAAGGCCGGGGGCCCTTTGGGGGGTCGGCGTCAGGGTGGTCAGTGTGGGTCGCCGTGTCCTGGCCGGCGGGTGCGGGTGGGCCGGGGCAGGCTGGCTGGGGGCCGAGGGCCGGGCGGCGGCGCGACCCCGTCTGCGCTGGTCAGTCGGACACCTCCGGCGCCAGAGGTGGGAATGCCTGTGCTTCTGGCCGGCCGGGTCGCGTTCGGGGCAGGCAGGGACAGAGGTCGGCGGGGCGGCGTGGCCCCCACCGAGAGCAGGGGCGCCTAGGGCCCGGAGCTGTCAGCAGCGTCCTGGGGGCTGGGCCCCGGCCGGCCGACTCAGGTGTGCCGCCTGCCCCGGTGCCCCGCCGGAAACGGGCAGGGAGAGCGGCCCCGCACCGAAGTGAGCCAGCGGCCCAGGGGGCCAGACACGTGGGCACAGCTGTGGGCCAGCCCCGAAAGCATCGAAAGGGGTTTCCAGCCGATGGGTGAACTCCGGAATATCTCCTGACTGGAAGGGAATTTAAAAGTCATCTAGGGACTCTTTCTCCCATTCCCTGCCAAAGTATCTTTGAAAATCCCCAAATCCCCCCTGATAATTTGACGAGCCCGTTTGGAACCTCTTCCAGTGTTCCGAAGCGAATGTCTTTAAAGGAAACCCATTCTGTTCCTGGACAGATGTGCTTATAAGTTGAAAGAAACAGCTGGCTCCCATCCTTCCTAGTTCTTTTCCCTTATGGGCAGCTGTTAAGGTATCTGAAGAGAGTAACCATGTCCCCTGAGTCTTCACTTCCACTTCCTTCAGTTGTTTCTCATCTGCTGTGATTCTCTTAAACTGTCCTCTGGATGAGCTTTAGTTTCCCCCATATCACCTTAAAGGAGAGTTTCTTAAAAGTGAGCATGGAGGCAAAACCTACTAAGTTTCTCTACGAAACAGCCCCAAGGATTGACCTGCTTAAATCAAAAGTACTCTAGATTCCCTTCCTCATTTCTGTACTGTATTTTGAACTTAAAAAAAAAAAAAAGAAAACATTTAGTAGTGTTTGTTCAAACAAACTAAAAGACATCTTATTTTGTGGAAATTTGGGGGTTTCCTTCCTTTTAAAAAATGTCTATAAACACTTTATCGAATGTGCTAATTAATGTACATCAAAATGTTTTATTAAAGTGTAATGTGCCATGCAAATAGAAGAGCTCTTTTTTTTTTTTTTTTTTGTTTTAAACTCTGAGAAGGATTGAGACCCAGTTTAGTGCCAAACTGCAATTTTAATATTTGGTTGCAGAAGGAAATGCTTTATTACATTGAACTCTTTGCTCTATTTCTAACTGCAAGCAGAAGGCCCAAAGTTACTATGAAAAAGAACACTTTTTGTTGCTTACTTACCAACCTCCTAAACTCTTGCCTAAGCAACTCTGCAGGTTAGTAATGTTTTAAGCCCAGTAGAGATGAGATGGCCTTGTAGATAAAATGCCAAGCTCTTACATCTGGGATCCTGTTTAAGTACTAAGCAAAATTTCACTGTTTTTACAACTTAGACAAGCACATACCAGCAGTCAAAATTGGTTATTTTTGTTCTTATGCCTTCATTTTTTAGATTGGTCAGTAGTTTTGAACTTTGTAGCACATATGTCAAGTTTTGATTTTTGTGCAAATGCTGTTCCCTTTTATGTAAGTTGGGTAAACATTTGCATAGCACTATTCTCAGTGAAACTGTACAGATCCAGAGGAAAGGCCCTGATTCCTTCCTTGCAAAGGACTTGGAGTGAAAGGTAGAGGATACTTAACTGTGAGAAAGAATTGATGTGAATATCTCACTGAAAATTAAAAGACTTAGGCCTGGATGCAGGGGTTCGTGCCTGTAATTCCAGCACTTTGGAAAGGTGAGGCAGGTGACTGAGGCCAGGAGTTCTGGACCAGCCTGGGCAACATAGCAAGACCCTGTCTCTACAAAAAATAAAAATGAAAATATAGCTGGGCATGATGGTGCATGCCTGTAGTCTCAGCTACTCAGGAGGCTGAGGCAGGAGGACCGCTTGAGTCAAGGAGTTTGAGGCTTCAGTGAGCTATGATCACACCATAGCAAGTGACAGAATGAGACCCCCATCTTTTAAAAAAGAAAATTTAAACTTGGTATGTTCTAATCTTCACTGTACACTTATGTACCTACTATGGGTCAAGCACTATGCTATGTACTGTGCTTAGCACAAAGATTTCCAATCTCGTGGAGCTGGTAAATGGATTATCTCAGAATAAAAGGTGAGAACTACACATAGGTGAGATATGGGAGTAAAGGTTGCGAGTAAAGGTTACCCAAAGGTGAGTGCACTTAGACTAGCCTAGGAGTTAAAGGAAGGCTTTGGTAAGAGATGATATCTGACCCAAATCTTAAATGATAGGTAGGAGTAAGCTAGGCAAACATGAGCAGAAAGTGTCCTTCAAACAAAGAAAATAGCTTGAGCAAAGGCATCAATGTGAGAAAAGGAATAGCTTGCGTAGAGAACCACAAACAGTTTGGGACTGCTAGGAATATAACAATAGAGATATAAGTGGTAAGTTATAAGGCTGGAAATACGGGCAGAGGCCATGTCATGGTGGACCTTGTATGCATAAGTATCCTGAAATCAATTCAGTAGGTACTGTGTTGTGGTTTTTTAAAAAAATTTTTATTTAATTACAGAAAAGTGTCTATCAGACATGGTTGAAGTAACATTTTAAAAATGTGGTTGTAGGGATGAAGAGAAAGAAATGAATCTGAGAAAATGTATAAGGTTTTAATGATTGATTGTATGTGCAGGTGAGAGGGTGAGGAGTCCCGTGTGATGCTCAGGTTTTTGCCTTGGATGATTAATGGTATGTTGGTAATTTTAACTGAGACAGGAAACAATTAATGATGAGTTCATTTCTGGACTTGAAGATTTTGCAATTTCTTGAGTTAGATCAACGAGCAAATATAGTGGAAGTAAGCTGAGAAAAAAAAAGGTGTGGTCAGAAAGTGGAATATCGGAGTTGTCTGATATGGGATTGTTCTAGGTGACAGCGAGGTCTCTGTTTATGGGTAGCTAAAATACAGCAGAGGTGAAGGTCAGTAAAGCTGAGTATGACAAGGAATTGCGAGGCTAGTGTATTGAATGAGTCATCTGTGTGGAGAGTGAAGTGATTGAGGATGATGGGATGTGGGGAAGAGAGAAAGATGTGACCCAGGTGCAGTAAAGATAGGGGATTAATCAGGAGGGTGGTAGATGACAGATGAAGAGGTGGGGTAGAGAGTGATATAGCCAGATGGTGCAAACCTCGAAGGAGGAGGGGTTTTTAAACACAGAGTGAGAAGGTAATAGTTTTTTTTTTACTTTTCCTTCCTGGAAGCAGAGTTCTGATCTCTTTATCTTTATTTAGTACTCATATTAATCATTCTGTTTGCTCCGAAGAATCTGTTCTTAGTCTTGGAAAGTGGGAGGGCACATACCTCATATTGAATCCTTTCTGCTAATACTTAATGACAAAGGGCAGTGGAGGTTTTTTCCTCTGATGATCATTAGTGGGTGGGTAGGGATCAATCAGATAAAGCAGTGAGGAGATATACCCATGGTTTTCTAGACAGAATATAGTGGAAAGAGCCTAGGCTTTGGAGTTGGAAACACCAAAATTCAGTCATTTATGAACTTTATGACTGTAAACAAATTATTTAGCCTCTGTGAGCTCAGTGTCCTTATCTGTGAAAAAATTGTACTTCATAGGATATCACAAATATTACATGAAAAAATATATACATACGTACCATACACATAAAATCACAAGAAAAGCAATTAGTGATTCATAGATACAAAGTAAATGTTAGTTTCTTTCTTCCTTTCTTTAAGGGGCTTATGCTCTGCTAGCTGAAATAAACCTTTTACATGCTTACCTAAATTATAAAATAGAACATAGTGAGTACTCTAAGGGAGGTAGTAGCAAAGTGATAAAGCAATTCAGAGGAGGGAGCTGTCATTTCTAAACATTTGGAAACAAGGTTGGGCTTCATTTTCAAAATGAATTTTACTTGGGCCATGAACCAATTTCAATAGAGTAAATAATTTAGGTAGAGATATAAAATAGGGAAAGCATAGGGTATGGTATCGTTGTTAAAAATTAACAGCTACCACAGGTTTGAGTATTGTATTTGTATAAGTTAATAGTAGGAAATATGGCTAGAGAGATAGGCTGGGGCCTTGGTATTAAAGATCCGAAACTGTGATGCAGTTTGGAGTTGATTCCGGATACATTAGGGAGCCACACATTGGATGTCCTCTTTCCCTACCTCAGTTTACTATCTGTAAAATATTTAGGCATCAATTCAGGAACTTCAAATTTTTGTTTGCAATAAGCCAAATAAGAAATCCCACACTTGAAAATAAGTTCCTGTGT